AAATCGAGAAGAAACCCTGAAAGTATTAAAAGCAGCAGAACAACATCATAAGATTTAAAAATAATAAAGGTTATATGTGTGCTCTGGTGAAAAGTGTAACATACCAATAAAATGCAGAAAGATTCTCTGTTATTCACTTTATAAAAATGTTATTTATATTTTCCTGAGGGGCTATTTTTTGTGTTCATCAGTCCACACATTATTAATTGTGTCTCACAGTCAGTAACAAACTAAAGTGGCTGACAGGATGCCACCTTAAAATTAAGTACTTACGGTAAAACAGCTTGTATTTGTCATTGTTTAAAAGATAAAAATACCTTGTGCAACTTCCCATGACTGGCTTGGAAATAATGGGTAAGCTATTTAAACTAGGCAAATAAGGTAATTTATTGACTTTCATGCCAGTACTTCTACATGGATGGAGTGCAAGGTGGTAGGGGAGGAAGAAGGTTGAGAAGAAAAGTACTTGAGCACAAGGGTGGGTAGTGAAGGAGAGAACAAAGCACTATTCCCTAGTGCCGTCAGAAATGGAAGGCTTTGGAGTCTCCAAATATACCCTTCTGTACGAATGATACCAGAAATTAAAATGGAAACTCAATTTCGCCTTGGAATAGGATTTTATTCCAAAAGACAGCATCTGGTTTGGGTGAGGTTTTTGTAATTCAAACTACACAACCTTTTGATATAAGATAATACAATCGCTGTTCTATCAGCTAATCTCTAACTATAGAGATGTCCCGAGATACTGTTGCTGTTAATTGTTTTCATCCATCTGAGCTCTCAGACAGTGACAGCATTTAAATCTGGGCTGAAAAAAATTTTTTTTACAATTGTTTCAAAGAAAGTAATATTTACTCATTTGTTCCCCTCTTAGCTTCTCACCCTGTACATACTAGAAGACACAGCCTTTTCTAACATCTTGCTAGCTAACTTAGGACACTGACTCCTCTTCACATCCAAAACAGTTGTGGCATTTTACTTTACACGTACATGGCACTACTACTCCTCTGACTGAATTTCTGATCCCCAAAAAGAGAGCAGTTTTTTGTCTGCCAGTCCATTGCATCATTTGGCATCTCTATTAATGGATGATGAAGAAGATGGCTTTAAGCGATGTTGTCAGATTTTGCACTGTGACAACACCAAGTGGCAAACAGAAGTGACATGTTGGTGACATTGCTATTGAAGTAGTGATCTCTACCGGGGTGCACAGCAATTGCTGGGGTGCTAACTTCTTCAGACACTGCAGCCAGCTCGCTAGACTCGTTTGTAGATAACCCAACATGAGCACTAACAGCTCTGTGTTGATGGCTCCTCTGCATGAGATCTATGAGAAAGTAACAAGTATTTGTTCCAAATATAGGAAAAATTCAGTATTGAACAAGAGGTGGCTATAAAACACTAATAAATCATTGTTCTTCCTCTTTATCTGTTCCTACCCCAAGAAAAAAAAAGTCTTCATTTATGCTTTATGCACTAACAAGTATACTGTACTGTTTTCAGCATGCTTCTCTCTATTCACATACAACATCAGTCTTGGTTTAAAGAACATTTGTATTCTAAAAAAGACTCCATTTACTTTGATAGTATCTCCTTAGAATGCTTGTAATTCTCTTTCTATTATTCTTGTAAAAGTTTAAAAGCTTTTTTTTTGTTTTAGCGAATTCAGAGACCTCTTTGGTTCTCTTTCATACAGCAAGAGGTGGCGGTTAGAATAATCTCAAAGTATTTATTTAGAATAGCCTTTTATTAAGCTGATAATATGGTTTAATTTATCAAAATAAGAGATGAAAAGTAGTGAAAAAGCCTTGCAAAAAAAAAAATGACCAAATAAACTTTCTTCCAAGCTTGAATGAATAACATTCAGCATGTCTCACAGCATATGCAGGTGACTCATTCAAAAAGATAGATCATGTGGAGCCTATTTTCAGTGTTACGAAGCCCCTTTCCCCACGATTTGAAACGAATTGGCACGGCTCTTACATAGCCCACATTTTTTAGGCAGTGTGAAACAATGGTTTCAATTTTAGATGAAGTGACAAACTCTGGGCTGGCAGCATGCCTCCAGCTCCCCATTAGCAGAGCAGCATCGGCGCCAGCCACCCAAGCGCAGGTCAACCTGCCCCTCATGCTGCCCGTTCCTTTTCTGGGCAAACACTTCCCCCTCCCGGTACAAAAACTAGCTACAGCCACACGACACCAAAAAAAAAAAAAAAAAAAAAGGCAGCAAACCACATACTCCCATCTATCTTTTAATATATTACTTTAAATATTTCCTCATTTCCTTTTAATAATAACCATAAATTTTATTTTAATACTATTTGCCTCTTTCGATATGAGCAGGATATTGGATGTCTGAGCTTTTTCCCACTTATGAACAAGGCTTTGGCAGTACCCAAGCTTTTTGCCCAGACACCAAACATCAGGCTAAGGAAACCTGGGAAACTACACTGGGGCTTGGCTTTCCAGCAGTTCTCTGAATTAAAACACAAGCTGAAGTCATGGCAGTTCTTTACTCAACTTCACTGATTGAGTCGTTTTCTTCTGCCTCATACATCAACCACCCCAAAAAGCACTTTTAACCCCACACTGCCTTGGCCCAGGCAACTCTGCCACTGGAAAGGTTCCCGGGAGCAATGCAAACATGAATGGCTGAGTGTGCACGGACCATGGGCAGGCAGGGATGAGCCAACCTGCTGACCCAGCCAGCTCAATCCAAAGCATATGTGCGGTCCTTTCTGCCAGCAAGGCAGTAAGGGCTCATCCCAGCCCACTGATGCCCAGTGGAGAAAAGCTGAAGCCTTCAGCCTGCAAAGCTGGATGCAGGGAAAGACTTTTGCTCTTAGCCTGTTAACAGAAACCAAAGCATACACTGGAGCACTGCATGCTGTAACTTAGTGGTAAAACACTGGAACACGTTGCCTAGAGAGGGGAAACATGAGCCATCCCTGGAAACATTCAAGGTCCCTTCCAACCCAAACAATTTGATGATTCTGATTCTGTGATCATGAAAAGTGTAATTTCTGCTGGAAACATTTCTGTCACTCAGGAGGTATCTGTACGCTATTGTTCAACCCGTAAATTGTCAGCACTGAGGTGATTTAACCAATGATATAAAAATACGTAATCATTCTTACTTCAGCAATACATTGAAAATGGTGGCAGACTGTGGCTCTAGGGTGGTTTATAAAAAAAAAAAAACAAAACAGCCACACCTGTAAAGTCATTTTCACTTTGGCCAGAGTCTGCGGTACAAGTCTGATGAGGATTGGCTGAGGAAACTGAGGTGGTTGTCCCAAAATAGGTTTTTCACCCAGTGTGCAAGAGGCCAATCTTATTTACAGTTCTGCGCACAAAGGGATGCTGGGTGGCAAATCCACAAAGGCAGCACACTGACTACCCAAACTTTCCACTATTTATACATTGTAGCAAACAAAGGCGTTAATGCTCATTGGCTTCAAGTTACATAGTACTGTTATTAATTAGTATTCTATCTTCCTTTGGTTAAATGATTCCCTCTGTTGTTATACTAATTAGTCCAAGACAGCCACCGGCTGCCACATGAGAGGAGCCCTGAAGAGAAGATGCAAGGATTCCCTGAAACAACATCTCAGCCTTGGTCATATTGATCAACATAACTGGTCTACTGTGGCCTCCAATCGGGAGGTCTGGAGACACACCATCTATAACGCTGCTGATGCTTTTGAGAAAGCACACGGGATCATTCTTGAGAAAAAACACAGAAAGAATCGTGCCTTGCAGAATATACCACCTAAGGAGTCTTTCTGCTGTGCCTTTTGCAGCCGGATGTGCCTGTCTCGTATTGGCCTTTTTAGCCACCAGCGCGCTTGTAACAAACATGGGTAGAGCCCTTCCCAAATCTTCATTTGCGAAGCCCAGCCATGATGGTGATGAAGACAAGCTCAGTCTTTCTCTTCTTTTGGGTTGGTGGATTTCTTGAGTCGGCGGGCTATGAGTCGGTGGTTGTGATCTCCCCGTCCGAATTACCTCTTATCCTGTCACAGCTGATTTCAACACAGGCCTCGAGTTGGCTTTGTTAGTTTCATCCTTATCTCGAGTTCTGCCAAACGTTCTTGTGCCCTGTAAATTCTGCATTCTTTGTGTTCACTATCAGCAGTACATTGTTAACCTCCCCCTAGATCTGAGACCATTGAAGCATGTCAAGCCCTTAAGTTCAAGAAGGCAATTCTGCCGACAAGTAGTTTATGTTTCTAAAGCCCGGACATCAAGGGGAGACCTTATCGATCTCTACGACCATCCGAGAGCAGGTTGTGGCAGGGGGCAGGGGGAGGGGGTGGGACAGAGAGAGAATCGTCCAGGTAATAAGGGAACGGGAGGAGGAAATGGCCTTAAGTTGCGCCAGGGGAGGTTTATGTTGGAAATTAGGAACAATTGCTTCACTGAAAGTGTGGTCAGGCACCGGAACAGGCTGCCCAGGGAAGTGGTGGAGTCACCATCCCTGAAGCGCTCAACAAGCGTGTGGACGTGGCGCTTGGAGCACGGTTTAGTAGCGGGCTTGGCAGGGCTGGGTTAACGGCCGGACTGGATGGCCTCGGAGGTCTTTTCCAACCGAAACCACACCGTGCTTCCACGACTTCCCCTCCCACGAACTCGGCCTCCCTCCCCGCTCCTGCCCCTTCCCGCGGAAGGAGGGGGTTACGGCGTCATCG